GGAGCCGCTGGGCTGGCAGGGACGTGCAAGACCAAGGGAGAGCTGGGCCTGCTCCAAGGGGACCGCCCAGCCCTACAGCGGGCGCGGCGCAGCCCTCCGGGGGTCGCGCCACTTCCCTGGAGCGAAGAAACGAAACCCCGCGCAGCGGGGCTGGGGACCGCGGCCGGCCCCCACAGCCGCACCATGAAGGCTCTGCTGCTCGTCGCGCTGGCTGCGGTGCTGTGCGTGGAGAGAGGTAAGAGATGGGGCGCACACACACGACACTTTCGCCAAGGCCACCGCCATCACTCCGAGGTCCCTTCACGGTCCCCCGTTTGGGAGCGGATTGAGGGTGTGTGGGGGGAGGGAGATGCGTCTTTGCAGCGTGAGCGCTGGAAGTTGCAGGGGCGGGGTGGGGGGGGTGGTGTTGCAAAAGGGAGACTGGGTTGAGCCCTGTTCGGGGGCTACTGGGGGTTCTTCCCAAGAGCTGCCCCTCCACAGGGTGCCCTCTTACAGCAGGAACTTCGGGGCTGCTGGGCCAGTGTGTTGAGGTGCATATCTCCAGATGTATGGATTTTGGAGCTGTTCCCAGTTGCAGCTCGAACAAAGAGAAGGGCTGGTTCCCCTCCTCCCTTCCAGCACAGCTAGACGGGATAACGGCGCTGAAATGGGCTGAGATGCAGCAGAGGGAAAGGAGAATGGAGCCCAGTGCTGGCCATGGCTGATAGAGCCAGTTCTGGGCAGTGGTCCTGACTCCTGCCATCCCTCAGCAACATTTAAAGGCAGGCTGGGGGTTGCCAACACATGGGGAGGTGATCCCCTTCAAAGAAACAGGGCCCTGTGAAGCATGTCCTGGTCTTGCCACTAAACCTGAGAACACGTTCCCTGTATGTTAAACTGCAAGTAGACCAAGTCACAGGTCTTTTGTCTTGCCTTACTGGTGACTCCATTTCTACTTATCAAAACTCCATGGGACCGTACAAAACCCCATATTGTTTCCATATGTTAATACTAAGAAAAGCCAAAGAAAGAGCAAACTGGAGAGTTCCTGGCCATCTGCTCAGAAAACACAGACCCTCAGTGTCTCCTGAGAACATCAGAGAAAAGAAACTTTTTTTTACGGCCCTTTCCATGCTCTTTCTCTCTGTGGGGTTCAAGGAAGCAATTGGCGACTAAAGTATTGGGTTAGAGCCCAACTGGCAAGTGCTGAATTCCAGCCCGGAAGATGGGCTGTCCAGGCCCAGGCAGGAGGAGGTTTAACCTTCCCCCTGCCAAAAAGTCTTTCAACATTAGAACAAGTTCTCCTTAGCTGTAAAAAAAGGTTTGTTGCAGGTTTTTTTTTTTAAACCTAACCTTTGTCTCTAAACACTCCCATCATGTTCCCAGACTCTTTCCTAGGAAAAGCTTTACCTGCTGTTCAAAGATCTTGCACGGAGAGTATAAGGCTCTTGTCTGAGAGCAATGGCAAGGAAAAGAGCGTCTGGCAGAGGGACTGAACGGAAGAGCCGCTGAAGCAACAGCATTTTTCATCAGTACTTCAGAGCAGGCATTTAAAGGCTTTTTTTTTTTCTTCGTGCTTGCTCCTTGCAAGAAGGGACCCAACAAGTGTTTTGTAAGCAATTCCCCTAAAGGATCTGCTCCCTTTCATGCGCTCTTTGTTCCTTCAAGGAGCTGAGCAGCAAACAAACAAACACATAAATACTTCCTGCAGAAGAATGCTGTATTTTTCTAGTTGGATTTTCTAGTTGGTGAAAAGGAGGCTTCCCTTTTATATTGTTGACTCTTGGTTCTTTTTTTTTTTCCTTCTTTTCTTTTGTAGCTCTGAACTCCAACTCTTTGCTTTGTCTCCAACTGCAGAAAATAATTCTGCCCCCCTTTTCTGTCTTGCATCTAATTCAGCCTGTTTGCTTTCTTTACTCTAGAGTGATGTGTGGATTGGATCATTCCATTATCTAGTTTGCTGAAATGGGAATTGAATAATTCCTCTCTTAAACTATTTTAAAAGACCTTTCCTTCAGAGATTCAGATTCTAGTAACTACTACAGGTGCTACAGGTTATAGGTGTGACAAAGAAAAAGATGGGGGCAGTTTGGAGACATTGTGGTAGGAACATGTCACAGAGAATTTAATGACTAACAACATTTTTATGTGCACATACAAATATTTCTGGTGTCTTTATATCAGTAATTTCCAGGGTTCAATGAATAGCACTGCGCCACTCAGCTTGTATGTTCGGCTTAGAGACCTAATACATGTAGGATCATACATGCTACCATAATGCCCCCAAGAAGCCTGTAATCCATTCCCGGTTGTAGACAGTTTGAGTGAGATGGGGTGAATGAATCACTTCTTCTGTGCTTCTTCTGTGCTTGGCTACAGTTTGCCCTCAGGGTGGTTGTGAGGAGAGGTGCGCGGAACAGGTCATCGGGACTTGAGGGAAGAAACACATGGGGACGAGGAGAGAGCCAGGCTTTACTCTGGGGTCTAAGTATTGAGTTTGCAGCATTACCAGCAAGGTTGAAAATGCCATATGGAGACTATGAGTTCAGCGAAGCGCATTAGCAGTCTTTGACTCAATTGTAGCTCAGTTCTCCTCTTCCTCTGCTAGATCCAGAGGCCATGTCTGCTGATATTTCCTGAGGCCTTTGACTCACCTGGTGGCCCTGTAGTCCTGGGTGCTGTGTGTAGGTAGTAGCTGCTGTGTTAGCTTAGTCGTGCAGCTCTTCTGTTGCAAACGTTGTTGGGAAATTGATGATACTTTGAAGTGGTATGAGCCCAGTCCAGGAAATTCTTGCTAGTTAGAATTGCTACCACAATTCTTGTTGTGGTATTGTCATTGTTTCTAAACCAGAGTCGTCTGGGTGTCCTGGTGTGACGTTCTGGGCCTCCCACTAACCTGCTTTATTCCCTTTTCTTAAAAAATGCAGCCGTGCTTTTGTTTTCATTCTCTGCCTTGTCTGTAACAACATGGAAGTCATTCCTTAGAGCGCAATTGCATTTTTTTTCCCCAGATGTCCTGTAACATGCTTTCTCTAAGTGAGACAAAATGGAGAAGACCCTCAAGAGTTTTGGAAAACTGTGATGGAGTCAAGGGGGCAGGAGCAGTACTAATACTGCTGAGTCCCTAGCATCTTCCATGGTGACTTGGATCCCTCTCTGCTTTGCATCATGTAGATATCCTGCCTGGTGGAAGGACTTGCAGTTTGAATGCTCAAAATATGAGTCTGTGAAGCAGCAGGAACAGACCTGAGCTGCCTGAGTATGTAGGTCAACAGTTGCAGCGTGGGTATGGTGTACTTGCATGTAAAATACAGAAAACACCATCCATCTACTGTTAAGTGCACGCGTCCTTGCTGAGTCACTGGTACAGGCTGTTTCTGTGACCATTTCCCCGGGGTGAATACAGTTTCCCAGGCTTTACCTCTCCTTGGCCAGAGCTAGAAGAAGTGCAATGCAAGCCAGATTGTGCAATCCATTATGTTGGTGCAGTGTAGGCCATTTTAAGAGACCCATTGAGAAGGAAAGCATGCTTTTTCGTTAGTGCCAGCTCCCTCCTGCTCCAGATAAGAAAGATTGGAGGTATGTGTTGCAGGACTTGTGTGTAATATTGCTTCCTATGAGCATGTCTTGTGGCAGAGGTGAATTGGGAGAAAGACGAAGGCAGTTTGCTGACATCCCCTGCAATTCAGGATAACAATTTTGACTTAAAAAAAAAAAAAGTGGTTATAAATGAGACCTGAGTCCAGGAACTCCTGCAATCCTCTGTAGCACTACAGGGGGCTCATCCCCTGTGATAGCAGGGGCTATAAGACAGATGTGCTCCTGTAGCTGGACAGGGAGAAGTCTTTGTTGTGTTGCTGAAGGACCTGAGTTCAAATGCCACTGAAGACTGTGAGGCAGGAAAGGGCTGTTAGTGTGTGTAGTAGCATGTGAGGCTGCAGGTTGCCAGATCCATTGCTGAGAAATGAGTCCTCTGTCACCGCATCTCTTTTCTTTCCTTTGCCATTGACTCAAAAAATTACTACCAAGGCTGCTTGGAAAACGAGAGCAAACCACCTGTAAATAGCCCATGGGGTTGCTCATAGTAGCTCATAGTAGCTCATCTGGACTTCTGTCTGCACCTCCCTCTCTCCATTGGCCTTGTCCTCTCCTTGCAGGTCTTGCTATAAGGCTGGCCTTACTCTAGCTGAGAAATTGTCTTTTCCACCGTGTCTGTTAGTTCAAGCATAGTCAGAGCTTTGTGCCTTGCCATCAAAGGCAGGTCACAGAATGTTCAAACCTGTATTCTTTCCTGCAATGTTTCTCATCAGTATCTATGACACTTTCAGGTCAGCAGTTGTTGCTTGACTCTGCCCTTGGTGCGAAAAGGGTAGTGGTGACAAACCTCAGGCTGAGCTGTGATGGCGTGGAGGCTTTTGTCAGCACTTGGGCCTACCCAGAGCTCTGTGGAAGATGTTCAGAATGTAATCCATAGATTTGAACCCTCTACTCGGCCAAGCCTGGGGGCAAAAGTCTTATTGCAGATTGACAGAGCCTAAATATCAAGCACCATGGTGCGGTACATGCAACATGTCGGAAGTGGGACTGCTGAGCGGGGACCTCTGCTTGCCAGTCTCTAACGGAGCTATGCCTTTCCCTTGCAGCCCACGCGCTGATCTGCTTTTCGTGCTCGGATGCATCATCCAACTGGGCCTGTCTGAAGCCTGTCAAGTGCGGGGAGAATGAAAACCACTGCGTGACAACATATGTCGGAGTGGGAATCGGTGAGTGTTGACAGGACCTTCTTTTGCCCATCCTAGCTGCTTTCCCCAGTGACCAGAAGAAGTGCAAGGTTTTCCTTCCCATGGCTGGAAGGAGAAATTTCAGCTCAGCAGCTGAGTGTCAGATCATCCTAGCACATTTTACAAGTGCTGCCAAATAGAGTCACGTTAAAGCTCATGTGCCTGCACCAGAGCCAGGAGTCCGAGGGGAAATTCAGGGTGGAGGGCAAGTTGTTGATGAATCAGTGAAAAGGTGACAGTTGCTGCAGGCTTCCTTGATAGGAAAGCTTCAGGGTGAGCCTTCCTGCTTTTCCTCCGTGTTGGCTGATGTTTGGGTCTTTTGTCCCTGACTCCTGCCTTTGCTGCTTCCCCCTACCATACAATGGGGATGCCAAGAAGGGAGATTTCTGTATTCCCTCTGTAAGTGCCTTTTTTTCTCTGAAAGAGGGGAGAAGCTCCCAGAAAGATCTGGGGGAGGGACTTTGCTCGTCTGCAGCGCTTCCCAGGGAAGTGTACCCTCCACCAGTTCCCCTTGATGCAAAGACCCAGCCTGGCCTGCCTTACTCTTCCCCCAGCCCTGGCGCTGGAGAAACCCTCCCTGTTTCATTCCCGAATTGCACACTCTGCAACGTGGGCGGGCTGGTGCATGCACAAATGGAGACCGGCAGGTTATATAAGCTTTGTCGTCTTAGCACAGAGCTAATGGTTTCCTATTTCATGTGCTTGCTGCTAAATATGTGCCAAGCCACACAGTTGAGGCTAATACACTCATGAGCCTCTTGCCGCTGCTCCCATGCTCCCTCGTCTTGCTTGAAAAGCTCCAAAATCAAACTTAGATGCGGTGTTGCAGGTTCTCTTCTTGGACCATAGCTGTCAAATTTGGGCCAGTTGCCTGGAAGGGATGTTTCCAGGATGCTACGCAGCCTCCAGAAGCTGCGTGAAAATTGCTTCTCATTCTTTGAGATGTGTGGGCTGGCCGAGGTTTGTGTTGGAGTCTAATGCTGAGAACCATTCTACCCTCTTGGTGCTCCCCTCTGCAGGTCATGGTGGCTTGATTATCTCAGCCCTGTTATTATCTTTGCAGAGCAGCTGATCAGAATGCCAAGAAATGCTTTAAAACGATACTCTCTGCTTTTTCTCTCTCCTCTCTTTGCCTCCTGTTCAGGCAGCAAATCTGGTCAGTCCATCTCCAAAGGATGCTCTCCAATTTGTCCCAGTGCCGGGATTAACCTCGGCATAGCGGCAGCCTCCGTCTACTGCTGTGACTCGTCCCTGTGCAACATCAGTGGTTCCAGCAGTGTGAAAGCCAGCTACACGATCCTGGCCTTGGGCATCCTGGTCAGCTTCGCCTACGTCCTCAGGGCTCGAGAGTGATGGGGCTGGGCAAGGAAGACCTGTCACCTTGGGCTCATCCTCCACGGAGCGGCGCTTCGGTGGCCGGTGGTGCCCTGTCTTCCAGTGCCCATCTCAGATCTCATTAGCCAATATCTTCTCTGTCGCTGTCCACAAGGAGACCCTGCACTTCTCAGCAGGCCTCAAAGATGATCGTTTCCCAGACTTTATGCTCTTTCAGCATCAGAGACCTGGGAGGTTTGAACTGGACAGTTCTCTTCCTCCTGTGGACATACCCCACTGCACTCTTACACCTCCTGGCAAAAGGTGGATTGTTTTGGAAGGGTTTCTGCTTTTATACCTGTTACCCCTGATTTTTAAGTTTGATTAAAACAAGATTGGGACTCAACAAGAAAGAGTTATCCACAAGCATCACTAAATCCAGTATTTAGATGTTCCTGCCTCTTGCCTCTGCAGAGGTTGCTGGTGCTGGCGTGTTCCAGCACGAGGGTGGCCCGGCCACTGGGAATGCATGACCCAAGGCGGGGACGCGTTCCTGGCTTCTGCAGCTGGAGTCTCTATTTTTAAATAATGGCATTTCTTCCAATGCTGTCCTGACTTTTCTGAAAAAAACAAACAAACAAATGAAGTGTATGTACCTTGTCCCTCTGAGCTCTGTAAGTGCCAGACCTGAATAAACATACTCCTATTGTTACCTGAGCTGGGATGTGTGTTGTGCTGTATGTTTCCTTGCTGAAGCTGGGGAGATTAGGAATGCTGGTATGGAAAACCTGAATTGCAGACCCATCACAAGGACCTTTTAGGTTCTCAAGATGCTTTTGAGTGTTCTTCCTTGGCAGTCCTTTCATGGCAATAATTCCAACTCCTCCCTGTTCCTTTCCTAGGTTAACCTCTCCATGGGACCAGATAAGCATCCCTTTGCCAGCTTGCTTCATTTCTCTCCAGAAAGCCTTTTCCAGATGCATTTCAGTGAAAAATCGTAAGGGTTTGAGTCCAGTTCTGCTCTGTTGGGCAAAAATCAGCTCAATTCCTAGCGAGCAAGAACCCAGGGAGCAGGACCTGTGAACACTAGCCTGCATGTTGTAATAACTTGGTGCCTCAACTGGAGTAACAATGGACAACAGCTCCAATAGCTATACGATGCAGGGCAACAGGTCCATATGCTAAATATAGTGAAGTTGCAGGTGAATGGAGCTGCAACCAGCGGATGGGCTGAGGATGCGCCCAGGCTGTAGGAGGTGACTTCATCCCTGAACCTGCTGCTCCTACTGTCCCCCCAGATCCCGCAATTTCCCAGGTCTTGTGCAGCACGTTCAGGGATGAAATTACCTCCTGCCCTGGGCTGTCACCTCCAGCCAGCTCCCCCAACCATTTAATTACACTTTTATCCCCTCTTAAATGAATGATAAGGAACTCCTTCACTGTGAAAGATCTGTGCAGCTTTAGAGAAATGAGGAGTATTTGCAAAAAAAAAAAAAAAAAAAAAAAACTTCTACATGTTTTTTATATATCCTTTTCCCCTCTTCCTCCTCTCTAACTTCTAATTAGAATTACGCAGATGTTAATGATGGCTGTTATGTCAGGAGTCACGGGTCATCGTGACATGGCCTGCAATTAGATGATGGGCTTGGTAGGAACTTGCGGCACTTCAGTATCTCCCTGGGCTGGGCTTCGTTCCTCTGGGAACGCCTTGACCTGGCATCTGGGCAACTGCAGGGAAAAGTTATCGGATGCAGATAAGTTTGTCTTCCCTAACTTTGCTTTTGAGAGGTTCTGCCTGAGTTTTTGATGGTTAGCAACCTCCTTCCCAGGGGGAATCCGCTGCCGACCAGTGACTGTGGATGGATGCACTAATCATTACGGGTTTGCTGCGGATCAGATTGCTCTTAAGTCCCCATGGAAGTAATGTCTCTTGGTCCTGCACTCATTTACCCTCACAATGCACCCTGGATTTAGGAGCCAGCAGCATAGTTGCATCCTAAAGCCTGTCCAAGCCTTTGCAAGATGGCCCTGGGAATGCCGCAGTGCAGAACCCCGTGAGCTGAAGACAGAAGTGCATAAAACCTGGCTGCAATAGCCCTTTCCTTTCTATGTCTGGAGTTTGGTCCTGAATTTTGGAACTTACTCGTGCCAGGGACTTGATTGTGCATGGGAGCAAAGGCTGGCAGGATGAGTGTTCAACAGGCTACTTACCCTGTACAGATAGCAAGTGATATTAAAGGCATTGCCAAGGGACAAAATCTGAAGGTCAGTTCAGACACATCCTGGACTTTATAGGCAGGATGAAGAGATTGCATATGGAAATCTTGCATTCTCCACTATCTTTTTGTCTTTCCCCCGTCACGTACTTTTTCTTGCACACTGTCTGCATGAGAGATATTTGCAATTTTCCTTCTTCCATGTCTGGCAAAGACCTTCTTGTTAGATATGTGTGTATTTGAGAAGCAGTCAGGATATGACAGCCTGTCAAATGCCAGAGGTGAAATTCAACTGTTTAATCCTGGGTATCATGTGGTCCATCCTGTCACCTCTCACCATTTCTAGTCCTTCTGTATATGATCTCCCTGCAAATCCCCAATACCTGAAATTATGGGAGAATTTCAGCTGTCATAAAGAGCAAGAGAGAAAGACCAGAAAATGTGCAACTATAGTAATGAAAAGAAAAAAAAAAACAGTAGAAAATAAATGGCATTTGCAGAGCATTAAAACTGGTGGCCTGTTAAACCAGAGCGTTTGAACTGGAGAGCTGCAGTGTGGGACAATCCTTAGATGCTTTGCCTATGTTTACTTAGACTGTGAAATTAAAGAGCTGAATCTCAGCAGAAATCTTCTATATTTGAGTTCCCTGACAAGAGGTTAAGAGGGGAAGCAGCTTTGCTCTGTACAAGCATAAAATATTCTGGTATGGTTTTCACTAGGAAACCAACAGTTTAGGTCAAAAAAACCCAAACCAAAACAACAAAAAAAACCACTTTAGGATGTATAGCGAAGTCTGCCCAATGGCCTTTGAGATACTTTTTTTTTTCTTTTCTTTTCTTTTCTTTTCTTTTCTTTTCTTTTCTTTTCTTTTCTTTTCTTTTCTTTTCTTTTCTTTTCTTTTCTTTTCTTTTCTTTTATCTTTTCTTTTCTTTTCTTTTCTTTTCTTTTCTCTTCTTTTGGCAAAAAGGCAGTATTTCTCTTTTATAAAAACACGGCTGTTATGTGGCTTCTCTACACATACTGTCAGAATGGGTAAAACTGTTTACTTAAGTGGGACTCGGCACTGTTCCTTCAAAAATGCCCTTGCTGGAGTACTAGAGTTGTAGTAACTAGAGTTGTCAGGAATGGTTTGCTCCCCGAGCCCCATTTTGCAATGGAGAAGCCCCCATAGGAAGCCTGGTAGCTCCATGTGGGTAGATATGTCTTTGTGATGGAGCAAGGCATGTAGTCCTCTCCACACCTCTCCCATGCCAGTCTCAGGTATTCCCAATGCTTCATACCCTCAAGTGCTTCTGCTATGCTGCTTCACTACCTCTTCTTCACCTGGTTTATATTTTACCATTATCCTCAGCGTTGAGGTTTCATCTTGTTTTGAAGGAGATACTGGGGTGCCCTGCATCCCCCTTTGCTCCTGGAGTTATTCCTGGGAAGCTGCCGTTGGATGCTCCAGGGAAGGGGGATAGCAGCAGCCAGTCTTGCAGGGTGCCAAGAGCCTTGGTGGTGAAAAGGTAGGTCCTGCCATCTACTGGCTTTTGACAGACATGGAAGTGAGATTTTTAGAGACCAGACCTCACCGGTCAAGGCAAAATACTTAAGGCAGATGTAACTGCAAGCATGGAGCCAAAGGTGGGATACAGAGGGCAGGCCTTTAACCAGAGAATTGCATGCAAAACATACAATCAAAGGCATTAGTGACAAATTGAATGTATTAATTTGTCCAACTCTGTGCCATTAGAGAAATAGAGAAATCAAAGGCATTAAAAGCTGCCCAACTCCAACCTATTCTCTGGGAAAACTTTTTTTTTTTTTCCCCAGCCAATATGCCATGGTTTCAATCAAAACCCAGAACATTTCATGAAAATATAATAAGCACAATAAAATGTTTCAGAAAAAGAAAGAGAGAAAAAAAGATTGAGCCATTTTTTTTTCAGCATTGTTGAATGATCTCATTTCATTTAGGCTGTAACACTGAAATATTCATATTACTATTAGATATATGTGAGGTCTGTAACTGTGCATTACCATTATAGTAGCAGAATAAAGAAACACTGAATTCTTGAAATATGTCAATATGTGTAGTATAAAAGTACAGCATATAATACTTGCTGTTTGATATTTTACTTTAATAAAAATATATGGAATTAATAAAAAAGATGCATTTGGAAGAATTTTGGGGGGAGTGCTTCTGTTTTACCAATATTGCCTCTCAATTCATGCAAAAGAAAGACCTGGGATCTGAGGAGTCCCACCCCCAGGGTGAGGACAGAAGGGGACGGATGCACAACTGAATGTGGAGACAAAGAGGGCTGTACCCACTCTTGTACTCTCAAGGCCAATGGAGTCTCCTCCCATTGATGGATGAAGAACAGGGATTGTCTTTCCTTTCAACACCCATACTCATAAACATCTTTCACTTGCCCATGACCTCGCTGGGAATGGATAGACTTATCTGTGTGTGTGTGTGTGTGTCTGCAGTGGCTCTTGTTGGAGGAAACAACTATTTTGGGCACATAATGGCCCCTGTGTGGCTCTTTGTGGGCAGCTGCTGCTCTTTTGCACTGCTCAGCCTCCTGCCCACCCCAAGTGATCAAGTAGACGCCTGGCTCTCCAGAATGTGGGAGGGTTACTGCTGATTTGCAGAGATATGCAGTTATATATTTATCTATTTTTGCTGAAATCTTTACTGTTTTCATGGGCCCAATAGGCTCAAATCCATGGGGGACTATGATCTCAGGGGAATATAAGGCAAAAGAAGAATAGTAGCCATGGGCTTTGGAAAGTTTCTCATGAATGACCACAGGTGGTTTGAAACAAATAAAAGTATCCTTTTTTTTAAAAAAAAAAAAAAGT